CTCATGCAATATGATGTAAACCCCGTCTTTTTATCCTCGATGGCAACAATACAATACGTGCCTTGCCGCCCCTGCTGTCAATGGGAAAGGACACCACAAGATTGAACCCACAGCTAAGCACTTCTCCCATTGCAAGAAAGCTCAATCTAGTAGGCCAAACCAAACTGATAATTCAAAGAGACTTGCAAAGATAACTTAATCACACATGAAAGAATTCAGAGGAGATTCAAATATTTCTCATAGATAAACTTGATCATAAACCCACAATTCATCGGATCTCGACAAACACATCGCAAAAAGAGTTACATCGAATAGATCTCCAAGAAGACCGAGGAGAACATGGTATTGAGATTCAAAGAGAGAGAAGAAGCCATCTTGCTAATAACTGTGGACCCAAAGGTCTATGGTAAACTACTGACAACTCATCGGAGAGGCTATGGTGTTGATGTAGAAGCCCTCCGTGGTCGATTCCCCCTCCGGCGGTGTCGTGGTGGGCGCACGGCAGATGCCAAGGGATGGCTAAAGAGAGGAGGAGGCTCGAGGGCGCTGGTGGGCTCCAGAGGCGAGGTTGGCATGCGCGGGCGCGGGACGCCGGACATACCCAGGTTCGGGGCTCTCCAGAGAGATAACACCCCTAGTCCTGCCGAGTTTGGTTGGATGATGATTGATAGTACAATGTTGCTCCTGGAGCTGTGTGGAGGAGGAAGGAAGCTGGCCAAGGCTTGGGCTGCTCCTTCTCTCCGTTACTGCTGTTGGGTGGCTAGTTCTATGCTTGCTTGGGCTTCTGTTTCTTACTCTCTCGTACATTACATGCCTCTGTAGGCGTGGGTTCCTGGGGGGTTTTATAGATCAACCCACCCAGGGTTACAATGGTAATATGCCGAGTCGGTGGGTCCGTATTGTCGGTGTCCGGGACACCGAGCTGGGTCCCGCTTGTGGGCTTGTGGTTCGCCGGGTTCCCCTAGGTGCGGGCCCCGCGGCCTAGGGGGACTGTGCGCCTTTTTGTCGATCGTCAGGGCGTGGCCGAGTCGAGTCGTGTACAGTGCTCTCCGTCAGGCTGCCGCTTGCTGTTGTCAGCCGTGAGGGCGGGAGCACTGTTGCCATGCCAGCTTTGGTCAGCAGGTAGGTGAGGGGCACTGTTGTCATGCCCCAGCTGACCACAGCCATGGGTGAAAACACTATTGTCTTGGTCATCGATGGTTTAGGTCTCGTCCCATCGTACGGCCTGGATGGGATGGGAGCTGACCCGTGGCTGGGTTGTTGTGGACGCCACGGGTGGGGCTAGCTTGCCGTGGAAGCCTTGGTTACGCCGGGTCGACTTGTCTTGCGCCAGTTGCTGCGGCCGGGTTGACGTACCTTGCCGGGTCGGGGAGTTTGGTCGGGTTGTGGGCCCTGCCAGGTTGAGCGACCCGGCCAGGCGCGTGCCGATTTGCGGGGCGATGCGGGCCCCGCTGTTTTTGAAAAGGATTCGGGTTCCGTTGCCTGCCCGGGGTTCATCCCCCGACAGGCGGAGCGCTGGCGAAGGCTCCAAGATGGGATCTCGCGGATACAGAAGGTTACGGCGGTGAAAATAGTTTTTCGTGGTCGCCTCTGATGTTCCCGGGGTACGTGGGTATATATAGGAGGAAGAAATACGTCGGTGGCCGCCCGAGGGGCCCACATGATAGGGAGTCGCGCCCAGTAGGGGGGGGCGCCCTCCACCCTCGTGGTCGCCTCGATTGCTTCTTGACTTGCACTCCAAGTCCTCTGGATCACGTTCGTTCCAAAAATCACGTTCCCGAAGGTTTCATTCCGTTTGGACTCCGTTTGATATTCCTTTTCTTCGAAACACTGAAATAGGCAAAAAAACAGCAATATGGGTTGGGCCTCCGGTTAGTAGGTTAGTCCCAATTATGATATAAATGTGTAAAGTAAAGCCCATAAACATCCAAAACGGGTAATATAATAGCATGGAACAATCAAAAATTATAGATACTTTGGAGACGTATCAACAAACCCTTTAACACGTCGGGTTGCGAGTATTTGTTATTTGTGTGCAGGTGCTGTTTACGTGGTGTGAGGAGGTTCTCGTAGTGGTTCGATAACATTGGTCTCATCACTGAAGGAAATACCTACCGTCACTATACTGCATCATCCCTTCCTCTTTGGGGAAATACCGACGTAATTCTAGCAGACATCAGTCGTTGTTCCAGCCAGCGATGTTTTTTATACTTTTCTATAACAAAGGCTTTGCTGCAAAAGTCCACCCGCAACATTGTCTTTATTGCAGAAAATTCTCGATTCACACCGCACATGACAACATCGTTTTCAGTGAAAAATCTGCAAATTATTCATGTTGCAAAAGTTCTCCCGCAAAACAGTACCATTTATGTTGCAAAATAAAGATGAAAAAAAATATCTGCAACACAATCTTTGTTGAAAATGTTTCTGTAATGACATTTGCAACTGTTGCAAATGCTCTGCAACACCAAGTTTGATGCAACGAAGAGGATAGTGTTGAGCCGCCAGATAACATCTGATCTAACATCCACGGACGTGGCAGGTCTTTTAAAAAGAATCAGCCAAACGCAACTCACTGAATCTGCCGTCGCTACCCCCCACCCCCCACGACAAAGATTGAAGAGCATTATTTCTTCATGCTCAACACCAACCATTAAGAGCAACTCCAACGGGCCGACCCAAATGGATGTTGCATTTGTCTGCTTATTGTCCGTTTGGGTCGGCCGCCCGCTCGGCGTCCACCCCATTTTGCATTTGGGTCGGCAGTGCGCCCAACGCACCGACCCATTTCATGTCCGCATTCAACTTTTAAAAATAGGCCCGCGGGCGATCATGCCAGCGGCCATGTCTCATGCCGGCATACAATGCTGGCTTCAGAAAATATCACCATAGTTCATGCTGGCGCACTCGTCAGCCGGCCGGCACACATGCCAGCACACAAAAAAGGTGGGACTTGAGTTTGATCACGCCATCGCGGCTCCCGTGGTCATGCCGGCACACCTGCCGGCATACAAAAAAGATGGCGCTCGCCACCATAGATCACTCGTCATCGAACTTGAGCATGACGGCCTGCATCTTCTCGAACCACGACCTCTTCCTTGCGACACGGTGTTGAGATCCACCTTCATGATCTCCACCCCGGTCATCATATTCGCGAGAGCCACTTCTTTCGCCTTGGTCTTGGCGTTGGCAGCCTCGATCTCTATCATCTTGGCTTGCTTCTCCGCCTTTAACTCAAACATCTTGGCTTGCTTCTCGGCGTCCAGCTCCAGCCTCCTCCTTTGGATCTCCATGAAAGCGTCCATTTGCTCCGCCTTGAAACGTCGACGCTCCTTCTCCCTTGAGTCCTTCTTATTCATCATGCCGTCCATGCCTGCGATCAAGGCGTTGGTGGCCGCATCTCGCTTGTCCTCCTTCTTGGAGTTGGTCTTCTCCCGCGGCCGTGTCGGCTCGCCCTTCCCAACATCCTCCACGGCTTTCTTCCCCCCACGCGACTTGAGTGCGGCATATTGCGTCTTGAACTTCTCCTCGTCCTTGATGACCCGATAGCAATGGGAGAGGTTGAAGCACTTGCCATTGTGTTGAACCTTGAATGCCTCCAAAGCTTGAAATGCCTACAAAATGTTTCCATGCAAGCATATGTGCAAGTGATATGCAAATGAACACGCAAAGGATGAACTTGATGACACAAAAGAGAGCGGCTTGCTAGCATACCATGTCTTGCATGCCGATGCCGCTCACGGGGCGGGCCTTGACGCTCTCAAGAGTGGCGCAAAACTTGTTGCACTCTTGTTGGATCACCCTCCATCGCTTGGATATAGAGACCCACCCACGCGTGCTCATAAATTGTTAAGGCGAAAACTTCTTGCGCTCATGAAACTTTCGGTGGACAAGAATCCAAAAGGTTGAATGCTTTAGCTCGGCGACCGTCTTGGGGTCTTGTCCAATGTCTCGCCAAAACTCGCAAAGAAGTTTGTCCTCGTCCTCCATGTACGCCTTCGTGCGCTTGCTCTTGCGCTTCGGCTTAGGACCGGCGGCTTGGTTGCGAGCTCGTCCTCGAACAAAGGCTCCACTTCGATGTCACACTCGTCCTCTTCCTCTAGCCCGTAGTCGTTCGGAAACTCGTGGTCGTCCTTCTTTGGCTTGGTCATGGCGGCCGTCTTGCGAGGGGCACGAGGCTTGCCTTTCCCGGAGCCGGTGGCGGCGCTGGACGAGGCGAGGGAGGCGAGGCCGGCGGCGGCGTCGAGGTCGATGGCGTCGTCCATGGCTGGTTGGGGTGGGAGCGCGCGCATGCGGGAGTTTTTTTTTGAAAAAATGAGGGGAAATGGTGGTGACTGCCACCGACCGGCGGGGCCGGGGAGAGGAATAGGCGCGCGCGCGTCCGTCTCGTGTCCGCGCCGACGCAAATCCGGCTCAAAAATGGGTCGCCATGCGGACGCCAAGCGAACACGCGTCCGTTTGGATCGACGCGTTGGACCGTCTTTTCTGTCCGCGCCGACCCAAACGGACGGCGGCGGACGAAATGGGTCGTCTCATTGGAGTTGCTCTAAGAGCAAAGAAATTATTAACCGGGGCGCCGTCCATTCACGATCAAATTATTAAGAAAGTTCAGCTCTTCTCGACCGATGGCGGTGTCCATTCGCTATCAACGAAAGTTCAGCCCTTCTCGATCAACCGAAGAAAGGAACCCCAGGTCTCGCCGTCTCGGCTGCAAATAGTCCATGTTCTGGAACAGATGACGAGCCTGGACCAGCGACCTTCCTGGGCAGGCCGTGGTCGTCGTCAAGTCTGATCGATCTCACGTCAAATCTGACTGCTTCTATTCTTCCACGCGGGTGCATGCCACATTAATGGTCCGTCCGGCGGCTATGGGTCACTAGTTAATTAGCTTCCATACATAAGTTCGTGTCCCTCATCGTCCTCGTGCACCAAGCTCGATCCGGGCACAAGACGAAACCACACGTACGTACAGCTCGATCCGGCCGGGCCGGGACGGCGAAATGGGTCGTACCAACAGGTCGGCCCTCGCGCTGGCGTGCCTGCTGGCCCTGCTGCTAGTGCAGCTACCTCGAGGAGCCCGTGCAGTAGATGGGGATCTGTGCGGCAAGGTGAAGTGCGGCATGGGGAGCTGCGGCGAGTCTGGCGACTACATGTTCGGGTTCGCGTGCCGCTGCAACCCGGGGTGGAGCCGGTACCATCTCGGCGACGTGGACTTCCCCTTCCTCCCCTGCGCCATACCAAACTGTACGTACACCCTGCACGCCAGTTTTCTTGATGATGGATCAATAAGAATCGACCGCCGTAATTCGTCTGGGCAGGCACCATCAACTACTCGTGCCAGGACGGCTCGTCTCCTCCGGCTCCGTCACCGCCGCCGCCAGCAGCGCCACCGCTGACAAACCTCTCAGTCTACGACCGTAATTAATCACCACCTCAGATGATCGCGAAAGAGTTTCTGTTTATCCATTCAAGCATTCGCCACTGAGTCCTGCCTTCCAATGGCGCAGCTTGCTTGATGCAGTACTGCGGGGGCGGCACCTGCGAGAAGGTGGAGTCCTCGGCGTTCGCGCACAGGTGCGCCTGCCCCGACGGCTTCAGGAACCTTCTCGACGATGACGCCTACCCCTGCTACCGCCAGTGTGAGTGACTCAACAACATATCGTGACTGAGGTATGAGTAAGTATGACTAGGCTAACGCTGCCTCGCCGGCGGTTTGGTGTTTCCACCGTGCAGGTTCTCTGGGATCGGGCTGCTCCGACCTCGGGATCGGCATAATCAACGGGTCCGACCCGAGCACGTCGCCGCCAGCACCCGTCTCCTTCACCGTCCAGAAGAGCGGCGCTGCAGGCGGTTCAGCACCACCGGTGCACAGGCTGCTGGAGCTCCTCATACTGATTTCCTTCTTCTGGCTCCAGAGTCCAGACAGTTTTGTGAATTAGTGATAGTAAACCAAGTGTGTGGCGTTTGATTGGGAACCATATTGTCCCAGTTTTCATATAGGATGAGTATACATTTTGTGTCGGTGATTGCAGAAATAAAATCCAACAGAAAGAATAACACATCAACAGAACAGATGAAGTCACCGATACAACCGAATTGTTACTTGATGTCCATTAAGCTTCCAGTGCAGCGATCCCAAATTAGGACTAAGATGATGACATATATCTGCTGCTCTCATGCTACATATCAGTGTAATACAATCAGGGCCGATCCTAAACTTTCGTGGCCCGGGGCGAACTTAAGAAATGAGCCCACTACTGGATCAAAAAAAAACTATATTGTATAGACACACATCACAATGTTTCTTTTTTGGTTTAAAAGCATCTAACTAGATAGAAGTACTAGGAAATCTCATTACAAAATAAAGTCTCATAATATACAGTTAGATGCTTTGAATCAAAAGTAAAATTTAAGAGATGGAACATACTTATATTTCCTCTGACAAATTCAGGTGTTTCTCCGACATTGACCGCACAACCTTTGAAAGTAAAAAGTAAAAGTAGCTACTCTAGTTTTTATCTCAGTGATAACTGATGATTGCTCCAATTCTTCCATGACTGCCAAGCTTTATATCTTCCACCACTTGCTTTGAATCAAAAGCTATAACAATGTCCTGTAGGTGAAGATCTTGCGCTAATGATAGAGCTTCTCAGCAAGCTATTGCTTCCGGCGCCAGAGGGTCACACACACCTCCAATGACAAGAGAGGAACTGCCAATGTAATTTCCCGCGCTATCTCTATAGGCAGCCAATGGCGAGCGCCCCCCCCCCCCTCCCCCGGTCTGGTTCGTAGTCGCATCAACATGAATTTTTGCATGTCCGGGGTAGGGGGGCTTTGGTCGTTGGATTCCAGAACTCGCAGGTGCAGCAGCTACCACGTGTCCGGTTCTTTCTGAACAATCTCGAGCTTTGAAATGAACGTGCATACAAACGCGTGCAATGTCGCCAGTGTTTGGAAGATCCCTTCGTGTATAGCCTTATGTCGAGACGACCATATGGCCTATAGTGTGACTGCCATCTTCACAAACTGCTCATGTTGTAATGTCTCAAAAAGAGAGAAGAGCCATTGTCATGCATTAGGTTCCGTCGTAGCAACCAAACATTGGCTCAGTTCCTCATCAACCATCGCCAATGAATACCTCGATATCGTCCATTCCAGTAGCGAGTGCCTCCAAGAGTCAGGCAAGCCGCAGAGGCCACACGAACTCGTCGATGGCATGTGTCTGTGGGCTCTCACGTCTTCTGTCGGAAGTGGTTGTTTCGATAGCCTCCATATAAACATTTTGATTTTCCCTGGTACCTGAGTTTTCCATAATGATTTTCATGCTCCTTGTTCATTCGTGCCCGAGGAGCCGCCCGAACCCTCAATCCACGCTTCTCTTCTTTGTCTGGTGTCAACTAGCATTCTATAGGCAGATTTGACCATGAACATGTTGTTCTTTTTAAATTCGATGAGATGGATCAAATGAATCGAAGTTGGCTGCCTAGGGGCGCGAAGACTATTTCTCACATTCAGCGAGCCCGAAGTTTTCTCTCGCTGAAGCGTTTCCACTAGTCGGGCTGACCCACTAGCGCCATAGAGAAAATATAAAAAATAGCAGAAACATGAAGGCGTTGGCTGCCTAGGGGCGCGAAGACTATTTCTCACATTCAGCGAGCCCGAAGTTTTCTCTCGCTGAAGCGTTTCCACTAGTCGGGCTGACCCACTAGCGCCATAGAGAAATATAAAAAATAGCAGAAACATGAAGGCGCGAGGGGATTTGAACCAAGTCATTTCGATACTGTGTAGAGCTGCTAGCCACTGCACCACTTCTAACTCCATATTCACATAGGAGTGGCATTTTAGTTGATGTAAAAGACCGCAAGTTTATTTTTATTTCTCTGTTTATTTTCCTTTTTTACGTTTCTTTCGTTCTTTGTTTGGTTTTCTTATGTTTCTCCGGCTTTCTTTCTTTTCGTTGTTACAATTTGTTTTTCTTTTGGTTTCTACTTGTTTTTTCATGGGTTTTTTTCATTCTACATTCTTTCTTTCATTCTTACTTTTTTTCTTCCGGTTTCTTTTTGTTTTTCATTCTATATTCTTATATACACGATTAACACTTTTTCAAATACTTGTTTAATATTTTTCAAATACCTTGTTCAACATTTTTTTATACGTGGTCAACATTTTCTTAAATACTTGTTCAACATTTTTTTCAAATACTCTTTCAACATTTTTCAAATACTTGTTCAACAGTTTTCAAATAGTTGTTCAACATTTTATGTACATGATCAACATGTTTTCAAATACTTGTTCAACCTTTTTATATACATGATCAACATTTTATGTACATGATCAACATGTTTTCAAATACTTGTTCAACCTTTTTATATACATGATCAACATTTTTTTTAAAACTTGTTCAACATTTTTTTCCAAATACCTGTTCAACCTTTTTTTATTACTTATTGAACATTTTCAAATACTTTCTCGACATTTTTAAAACTTATTCAACATTTTCAAATAATTTTTCAACATTTTTGAAATACTCGTTCGTGAGGTCCTCCCATGCAGCGGTAGGCGCCCCTTCGTCCTCTTCCCTCTCCGCCTAGAACCCGACCCGAGCATGATGCACCACCATTCGTGAGGTCCTCCCATGGGTGGTCAGGGATGGTGGCTGCCTTTGCCCCGCCATGGGTGCATCGCCCTGAGAGCAAGCGCATGACAGAGATTGCTTACCCGAGAGGCCGACATGGGAGTTAGATTGGTGGGCGCGTGCAAGTGCAGTACTCCCTCTAGTAATTCTCTCCAATAAAAGATGAAAAGAAAAAATGATGCAGTGGTGATAAAAAATTGCATGAAGTAGAATATCTATCTTAATATATTATGATGCAAAATGCATGTATCACCTACACTCTTCATCGGGATGATATTTAAACTGGGACAAAAATGTCCGAAAGTGTGCTTGAACTAGCTCTGTGCACTTCCAGAACATCACTCGCCTATATGTGCAGCGTGGGGCCAAAACCCACTTTCCGTCGACAGAAGTGCTTCATGACATAAAGCAACAATTCTCGCAATCATTGGCTTAGGAACCAGCCAATTCTTTATTTAGACAAATGAGCCGATTCTTCTTAGAGGAGGGAGCCGGTCACGAAACTCACAACGACTGACAGGAGGGGCCCACCTGATAAGGTTAGGACCAAGAATGAAGCGAGGGGGCATGGGTTGATAATCCGCGACTAAAGCCCATCAATATCCAGGCCGGTTACTCTAGAGGGTTCGTCTATGCCTTACTTAGTGCAACGTGGAGGTAGCATCGCGTCAAGGACACATAGAGTGGGCCAGCCCAGTAATGAGCTGACAATTTCTTCCAATTTTCGTTCGTTCCTTCCTTTTATACGTTTGTTTACATTTTTAAAAAAGGTTCTAAATACAAATATTCCAAAACTTAAAACTTACCAAAATTTTCTTAAGAAGTGTGAATTTGAAGAAAGAAAAGACGGTGCAAAATTTTTGTTAGTATCAATTTCATAAATGTTGACAACATTCAAAATTTTGTGACAAAAAAAATATCTTTAGAACATATTCAAACAAGTTTTTAAAAATATTTAAAAAATGGTCAAACACATATGTTTGAAAACTATAAAATGTGTAAATTCAGATGTATACGAAAAATGTACAACGTGTATGAAAAAAGTAGACATGAAAAACATATATTTTGAAAATTGTTAATCATGTATTTACAGAATGTTAAATATGTATAAAAATGCTCCTAGTGTATGGAAAAAATGTACAAGGCGTATGGAAACAAGTAGACATCAAAACAAAATTCAATAAGTGTTAATTATGCATTTTGAAAAACTAAACATGCATATAAAAATTGTACCGAATGTATAACATAAATATACAAGTGTATGATTTTTTTTACATCAAAATCGATGTTTGAAAAAATGTCAATCATGTAGTTCAAGTTTTTTAAAGGGATATACAAAAATGTTCTGTATGTATACGGAAAATTTATAATGTGTATGAAAAAGATATGTGCATCGAAACCTATATTTGAAACAATGCTAATCACATATTTAGAAAATGTTCAGCCTGTACACAAAATAAGTTTTAGATGTATATGAAAAATGTTAATCGTGTATTAAAAACCCCAATGAAAACCATCAAAAATAAACAACAAAAATGACAGAAACCCAATGAAAGCCGAGAAAAAAAACTAAACTAGATGGCAAAAAAGAAAAAAAAAACAATGCAAAAGCATGGAAACTAAGAAAAACAAAAGGAAAACCAAGAAAAAACAAATAAAACCAAACAAAACAAAGAAAAAGCCCAATAAAAATCAAGAAAGAAACAAACAAAACCAAAGAAAACAAAAAAATGAAAACCAAAGCAAATTGATGAAATAAATAGAAAAACTTGAAGTAACTCTGGGAAGAAACAAAGAAAAGTGAAAGAAAAACAAAACAAAGAAACCCGCAGCGGCGAACACACAAAACAGCGAACGAAAAGTATAAATGTGCTGGCGCCACACGAATCTTCAGATGAGACGGGAGTTACTCTTGCTATAAGCAAGATATAGTTGTCGCCTACTAGAAGTGTAATCATCTTGGGAAATGAACAACACATCACTCAGTGCATGGGTGTATCATCTCCCTCTCCATCCCAAAACCCAAGAATTCACCACAAAGAAAGCCACAAGAATTCACCCATCCTCTGTGCAAATTCGTGTTATGGCAACTTTGTGTGGTCAATTGTGTTGCTGGAGAATGTGACACTACACTGCACTAGTTGTTCTAATCAGATGATGAATGGTAAGGAAGACCTTTTTTTAGGGCTAGTAGGGAAGAGCTAGGCATGAACCGGCTGATGTGGTTTCTCATTCATGTCTAAAGAATTAATTATCGAAGCTGAAGAAAAAACCACTAGAATGCAGAAACGTGGTGAGAAAAAA